AATCCAAAGGCCTAGAACCTGAAGCTACTCTGTCTTTTCATTACACCACGTCTGCTGCTACCACTTGTTATCACTTCTTGCTGTTGCCTCTACAGTCTCTGTTTCTCTAGGTAGAGTTCTCACATGTCACTCATGGTCTTCCTTCTTCATGGTCCTGGGATCTTCCTTCCTGCTTCTGAGATGGCTCCTTTTAAACTTAGCTGGAGGGCAAAACTAACCAATTCCAGCCTTTTTGTTGTTCTTAGGTGCCAACAAGTCAGTACCAACTCATAGTGACCCTATGCAAAACAGATCAAACACTGCCCAAACCTGGGCCAACCTCACAATTGTTGTCACACTTGAGCCCATTGATGCTGACACTGTGCCAATCCATCTCGCTTGGGGTCTTCTTTTTTTCTGACCCTCCACCTTACCAAACATGATAATTCTTCTCCAGTGACTGACCCCTCCTGACAATATGTCTGAAGTATAAGAGACCAAGTTTGGCCATCCTGGCCTCCAAGGAGTACTCTGGCTGCACTTCTTCCAGCACAGAGCTGTTTGTTCTTTTGGCAGCCTGTGGTGCTTTCAGTATGCTCCTCCAACACCATAACTCAAATGCACCAATTCTTCTATGATCTTCCTTATTCACAGTCCAACTTTCGCATGCATATGAGGTTATTCAAAACATCATGGCTTGGGTCAGGTGCACCGTAGTCCTCAAACTGACATCTTTGCTCTTCAACACTTTAAAAAGGTTTTGTGCAGCAGATTTGCCTAATGCAATACATTGTTTGAGTTCTTGACTGCTGCTTCCATGAGTGTTGATGGTTGATCCAAGAAAAATGAAGTCTTTGACAATGTCAATCTTTTCTTCATTAATAAGAATATTGTTTATTGGTCCAATGGTGAGGATTTGTGTTTTCTGTACATTGAGATACAACCCATACTGAAGGCTGTGATCTTTATCTTCATCAGTAATTATTTTAAGTCCTCTTCATTTTCAGCAAGCAAGGTTGTATCATCTGCATATCACAGGTTATTAATGAGTCTTCCTCCAATCCTCATGCCACATTTTTCTTCATATAACCCAGCTTCTCAGATTATTTGTTCGGCATACAGATTGAATAAGTGTGGTGAAAGAATACAACCCTGGCACACACCTTTCCTAATTGTAAACTATTTGGTGTTCCCATATTCTGTTTGAACTACATCTTGGTCCATGTACACATGCTTTATGAGCACAATTAAGTGTTCCATACTACTCATACTTGACAATGTTGTCCATAGTTTGTCGGGATCCACACAATCAAAAGCCTTTGCATAAAGCACAGGTAAACATCTTTCTGGTATTCTTTGCTTTCAGCCAAGATCCATCTGACGTCAGCAATGATATCCCTCATTTCACGTCCTCTTCTGAATCTAGTTTGAATCTCTGGAAATTCTCTGTCAATGAATGGTTGCAGCTGTTTCTGTATTACCTTTAGTAAAACTTTACTCGCATGGAATACCAATGATATTGTCCAGTGATTTCCGTGTTCTGTTGGGTCACCTCTCTTTGGAATGGGCACAAATAACAGATCTCTTCCAGTCAGTTGGCCAGATAGTTGACTTTCAAATCTCTTGTCATAGATGAGTGCCTCCAGTGCTGCCTCACATTGTTGAAAGATTTCAATTTTTATTCCATCAATTCCCACTGCCTTGTTCTTTGCCAATTTCTTCAATGCGCCTTGGACTTCTGCCCTCAGAATCATATGCTACCTCTTAAAATGGTTCAATATCAATTATTTCATTTTGGTACAGTGACTGTGTATTCCTTCCATCTTCTTTTGATGCTTTCTGCATCATTCAATAATTTGCCCAGAGAATCCTTCAATAACACAAGTCAAGGATTGAATTTTTCCTTCAGTTCCTTCAGCTTAAGAAATGCTAAGTGTGTTCTTCCCTTTTGGCTTTCTAACTCCAGGTCTTCGCACATTTCGTTGTAATATTTAACTTTGTCTTCTTAAGCTGACCTTTGAAGTGTTCTGTTCATCTCTTGTACTTCCTCTTTTATTCCATTTGCTTTAGCTTCTCTACACTGAAGAGCAAATTTCAGAGTCTCTTCTAACATCCATTTTGATCTTTTCCTGCTTTCTTGTCTTCTTAAAGACTTTTCACTTTATTCCTGTATGATGTTCTTGATGCCATCCCACAACTCTTCTAGCCTTCAGTCTTTCGTGTCTAATGTATCAAATCTGTTCTTCAGGTGATCTCTATATTCAGGTGTGATATTCAAAGTCATATTTTAGCTCTCGTGGACTTGTTTTCATTTTCATCAGATTCAGTCTGAATATACATATGAGCAATTGATTGTCTCTTCCACAGTCTGCCCCTGGCCTTGTTTTGGCAGATGATATTGAGCTTTACACACCGTCTGTTTGTACAGATGTAATCAATTTGATTTCTGTGTATTCCATCTAGTGAGATCCATGGGGATAGTCATCTTTTATGCTGTTTAAAAAAGGTAATTTGAAATGAACAAATCATTGGTCTTGCAGAATTCTATCATGTGTTCTCCAGCATCATTTCCATCACCAAGGCCATATTTTCCAACTACTGATCCTCTTTGTTTTCTCCCATCCTTTGCATTCAATCACCCATAATGATTAATACATCTTGATTGCATGTTGGGTCAATTTGAGACTGAAGAAGTCGGTAGAATTTTTCTGTTTCATTCTCACTAGTGTTAGTGGTTCATGTGTAAATTTGAATATTAGTGGTATTAATTGGTCTTCCCTGTAGGCACATGGATATTATCCTATCACAGATTGATTGTAATTCCCAGCCTGAAAGTACTATATACCTTATTTGTATGGTGCCTCCTTATCACTTGGTGGGAATTAAAAGTCATTGGATAGAAAAGCCATATCAAGTAAATTCAAAGCACCACACCACCCTTTACTGGTTAAATGTAAACAAGGCCAAATCCTATCTTGTTTTATCATCGTAGGAAAGACCACACCTTGGTCTTCATTAATAATAAATATGGTGGTGATTGTAACTGACACTTACTTATCGTTGTTAGTGCCGTTGAATCAGTTCAGACTCGTAGGAACCCTGGGTAGGGATTTTGAGGAGCGGCTGGTAAATTTGAACGTCCAACCTTGCTTTCAGGTGTTCATCCTACAACGCCACATGAAGACTTGAATGTTAACTCTATCCAGATCCATACCAAATGTTTTTCACCTGACATACTGTTATTATCTCCTTTTTAAAATGCAGCTTGAGTGATGTTTAGTGACTTGGCCATAGTCTTACATTGAAATGTGGAGCTACAGTTGGCCTAGAGAGCCAGTGGTTTTTGTTCTGGTTGAGACTTCTCCCACTATAGGAAAGCCAGAAGGAAATAGAGAAAAGTGAGTGAGGAGGATACACTCCTGTTGTGAAGAATTATAAATGATACAGGGTGATTATATCCATGCCATAAATAGAATTCATGATGGAAAATCCTTCACATTCACTTACCATCTCCTTTCCAATGAAGACATTCAGAAGGGCTTAAGGAAGAAGGCACTGTGACTCATGCCCTCTGACACTCGCTCTCTTCAATTGTACTCACCCAGGTAGCACTAGAATCAGCACTGGACTGTGAACCACAAGGTCAGCAGTTCAAACCCACCAGCTGCTCCCTGGAAACCCTATACAGGGTCACTATGAGTTGGAACTGATTTGATGGCATTTAACAACAACAAGGGAACAGGGAGTTTGGAAAGAATGAAGAAGAGAAGTAAAGAGGTTGGGAAATAAGGTTGGAAGTTAAAGACAGATGGACAGAGAAATTAAGAGATGTTTTCGGGAATGGTTTTGCTAAAACTCGTATCAGTGAGTCACTCGAGAACCAGACTTCCCTTACTCTCCCTCCCTTTGTCCTCCACTGCTCTGAAGCCCTGAGTTAAGGCACAGTGACTCTGTCATTGCACTTGATTCCACAGCAGCTCCAAAACTACCTTCCGCTTTGTGCCCTCATGCAGAAAGCTGTCAACCATAACAACAGCCATGTCACTTTGCCAGGCTTTCTTACCAAAAAGTCATAAGGAGCTTTGTCTGTGCTGTTTTTTCTCTGCTAAGGCCGTTTGAACTGCAAGGTTGGCGGTTCAAGCTCACCAGCTGCTCCTCGGAAACCCTATACAGGGTCGCTATGGGTTGGAACCAACTTGATGGCACATACCTACTACAACAACAACTGTACTAATTGTCTTTCTTGGGTGAGAATAACAATGCTATAATTCAGTAGCAACAATAATAAACTTTTAAGAGTTATCTTCATCATGTAAATGACACATTTATTGAACAAGTTAGTTAAGTGAATGACTAACTCCACAGAAACCAGTTTATAAAACTGAATACAGGTAGCCCCCAACTTATGACATGTTTGAGTTACCATGCATGAATCATTGTTGCTTAGGACCATCCTGGTTTGTGTGTGTGTGTGTCTTATCATTAGTAACATGTACTACAGACAAAACAATGTTACAGCACGTAGTTTCCTGATGTCATAGTAGCTGTAAGTTTCCAGCCCCCAAAGACAAATGTAATGTTTCCAGCCCCCAAAGACAAATAAAGATCAGATTTATAAATGTTGTTGTTAAGTGCCATCAGGTCGGTTCCAACTCATAGCTACCCAAGGAGCAACTGGTGGGTTTAAACCACCAACTTTATGGTTAACAGTCCAGTGCTTCTCTTACAACGTCATACCAGAAAGCCAGATTTATATACATACTGATAATAAAAGGCAAAATAATGCAAAGCAAAAAAAGAAAAGGTATTCAAAAACGTCAGAACCAATATGTCACAGTCGTTGGAACAAAACCCACTGGGGACTGCCTGTATTAACATCTGGACAGACTGTCTTTCTGAAATGTGAAAGAGGAAAAAATGTTTGTGTGTGGAATCCCCAGGGAATTAAAAATCCAGGGCAGAAGTAAATCTTTATATCGAATTTCAGATGTGTTGCTTATTCACCTTTCTTTCCTTTTTAGGGACTGGTTAAATATGTTCAGCCCACCAATTGTTCCTCCCAGTCAGCAGCCAACCGAGCAGCATCCAGATTCTTCAGAAAGTTTGAGTGTTCAAGGTAGGAATATGAAAAATGCTATGCCTAAAAAAATTAAAACAATTGGCTATAAATAGAGAAAATCAGTCCCTTTTGAGATGCCACTGTTTTTATTAGTTTAGACACCCCAAATGAATCAACCTATGCCACATTTTTCTAGAGTTTTGCTTATTTTGCAAGTAAAAGAATTATAATAGAGAAAATGCCCATGTTCTTCTAAAACTTAATCCCAGGGCAAAATATGAGTGGGCTTCAAAAAGTTCTTGGTGGGGGGAAATGGAATTAAAAGATAATGAAATTTTTCCACAAATTTTTGAAGTCCCCTCACAGTTTAGAGTATAAGAACATGGCTTTGATGTCAAATAGGCTTTATTCTGAGTTCTGGTTCTGCCAGTTCTTAGCTGTGTCACCTTTAGGAATTTTGGCTACCACATCTATAAAACCAGACTAATGATAGACCAGACTAACCTAAAAGTTTCCCCTGAGGATTCAAAGAGCTGGTATTGTGAATTGCATAAAATGGTGCCTACCAACTACTAGCTGTTTATGTTATTATCAAATAAATACTCCAACATCACTAAGATGCATGTTTTCTTAAAAACATGGGCTGTCACATAGCTAGGATAGCCATGATTTTTTTTAACATTTAATGTGAATTGGATGAAAGTTTACAGACAAGACCATCTTCTCTACATTCAGCAAGCCATACACTTTGTTTCATCTCAGAGATTCAATCCTCTCCCTGCAACAACAGTTTTTTCCCTTCCTCCCTGAGGCTCTCTCCAGCTTGTATTTCGTAAACGAATAAGATTAAAATATTTGATGTACACTTAACAAAACAAAAAAATCATATATATATTTAAATGTCAAAGGGCACATTTTGCCTGCCAGCCTCCTGTCCACAGGCACACAGCCATCATCTCTGTTGTCACTTTTCTAGTTAGGGATCTCACACTCCACTCGTGCTCTTCCTTCTTAATGGTCCTGGGATTATCTTTTCCTGAAATGAAAGATGCCCTTCTCCCTCCTTTTAATTAACACCTTCTACAATTACAGTCATGACCATTGAAAGTAATCTTGTTAACAGTTATTCACAATTGAGTCATAAAATCCTATCACCATCATTTCTATCCCCTTTCACCAGATTCATCTGGGAAAAAGGGAAACTATTTAGTGGGGATTCTGCCTTACCCTTATAATTCTGCAACTGAGTTTACTCATGAGAGCTTGTAAACCAGGCACTTCATGCTTGTGTAGCCACCCCCATTTTTGATAGCCAGTGTCTAAATTTCTCATCCCTATCTACCTACTAGTTTGAAGAAACTATGGTGTTCCTTGATATGATGAAACCTTCCATTCTAGTTGGAATTTTGAGTCACTGCATTCATAGGCAAAAGTCTGGTTTGTTATATTGTAACAGTTTACAATTGTTCTCGTTTACCAAACATCTTTATCTTACTTGTTTGGACTAATGGTCAACTAGCCATCCAAGCTAGGTGAAATGGGTACTCGCTGCAAGTTTGGGACTTTCTGTGCACCTCTCTACACTTCAGACCATCTGGCCACTTCACTGTCAGCCCTAGCTCCCAGGGGCTAGGTCAGTGTCCGTGGACTCAAGAGTTCACACATTTCCCTAAACCAGCCTGCCCTTCTCTCTCATCTCAAGGCCAATCAGTGTCAGTGGAACATGTCTAAACTCAGCCCATGTCTTTATTGCTGCATTTCTCTCACTTCCGCTCACAAGTAGACCAGGTGATCACCAGCGAGCATACTATATTGCGCATGGGTTCCCTTTGAGTTGCAGCCCTAGAAGGGGATTTTCCTTGATGGGCTGACTTTTCTTTCCTTGATGCCTCCAAAGCAAACAACTTGCTTGATATGAAAACAGGCAAACCATCCACTTTTTTCTTACAGGTCTTTCTTTTAATAAGAAAGGTCTATTCTCCCAGCAGTTTTGTGTAGGTAGGTCTACATGTCTTTTAAAGTGGAAATGTCCAACCTCAGAAGGTTCTGAGTGGGGCTGAGGATTCCACTTAAGGACCCATACTCTACAAATTCTTAACAAGAAGCCTATTTCCCTGAGCAAATTCTAACTCCCATTTTAGCAAATCCAATCAGTTTTAGACTGAAGGCCAGTTTACAAGCTTTCTGTCATCATAATTCCCAATATTCATGTCCGATACCTATTATTAATGTAGAACATTATTAGTTCAGAAGTGAAAATTTGCCTGGGTTCCTTTGTTGGCAAGTGCCATAAAGCTGAACCATTTCTGGTTGCGAGCAAGGTCCGCGGTGGCCAGGAGTATAGACCGGAGGGAAGTACCAGAGTCTTTGGTGAAAACAGAGGGGCTGAGACAGAGAGAGGGTGCAGGACAATCTAAATGCATGATTGCAGTGACAAGTAGATTCGCAGGGGGACTCACTGAGACCATTTCCTGGGTTGCATCTTCAAGATGGTAGCACTGTATCTGAAGTTAAAAAATGAAACAAAAATGAAACTGAAATGAATATAAATTTCTCTAACGGAGGTGCCAATTGTTTTTTCTAACTGCCACAGGGAGAGATTGGAGCCTCCTGTTTTTTCCTCAACTCTGGAGGACTCAGAGTGAGAACTCATACATCTGAGTTGTATATTTTGGCCACCCAAGGGATGGAGATGTCACTGTGATTTACTGTCTCAAATAGATTCTGCCTCTCAAATTAGGAATCCTTTTAGAGGTGTACATTCATAATTACTTATGACAGAAAAATAGAATCTTGGCTGTCAGGAGGAGACCTTGCTGTGAGGAAACAAATAATAAGTTATCTTAAGTGTCCTAAATTAGCCACAAGAACCAAGAGTGTGGTCCTTGAGCAAAGGCACCCAAGATATATTGCAGAGATAAGTGGCTGAGAAAATGACTTAAAGTCACCATTGCAAAGCCTAGCTGTGACAGCTGGAGTTTTGTTATGCTGAAGGTAAACAGAACTTACATCGAGAGCAAATTAACTAATTAGTTTCAAAGAACTGTAGAAATGTTCTGGCCACTGTCAGCTAGATCTGGCATCCCTTCTGCCTGACAACCAACATTTTTATCAGCTGTGATTTTCTCACCTTCCCCTTTGCTGATATGCATGGATAATTTGTAGCTAAGTAATGCCATCAGAAACTCATATTTCCTATTTGGCTAATTGTTACATTAATGGTTAATGCACAGTGCAATCTGTTCTTATGCTGAGATGATGTGTCCATCTGTTCTGATAAAGTGTTAGTCAAAGAAATATCTTGGTCTATAGTAGTAGTTGGTATCATCAGAAGGGGCATGGAGCTGGATGTGAGTACTCTAGGACCCTTGCAGGGTCTCTGTTGTCTAAAATCCAAAAGAACCAAACTCACTGCCACTAAATAAATTCTGACTCCCAGAGAACTGCTCCATAGGATTTCCAAGGCTGTGCATCTTTACAGAAGCAGACGGACACACCTTTCTCCTGCAGTGCAGCTGGTGGATTCAAACCACTGACCTTTTGGTTAGCAGTTGATCTGGTGTATAATAATGCCTTTCATCTAGCACTTGCTGTGTTGTGGAGTGAAGTCCTGGTGTGGCGCTGTAGGGTAATGTACTAGTCAGTTTGAGCCATAAGGTTGGCAGTTCAAACCCACCAGCTGCTCCTCCTGAACCCTATACAACAAGGTCGCTATGAGTTGGAACTTACGTGATGGCACCTAACAGCAAAAAACGTCATGATGTGGCACTGTAGGATAAGCACTGGACTGTCCATTGCAAGGTCAGCAGTTAACACCCACCAGCTGCTTCTTGAAAATGCTGTTCAGGGCCCCTATAAATCAGAACCAACTTGACGACACTTAAGAACAACACCAACAAATGTGAGTCAGAGTTTACTCAGTGGCACCAGGTTTGGCTTTTTTAGGTTTATGTACAAGGCACTGTGCTAAGTCAGGTATATTTAGTCCTCAGCCTCATAATTCCACAGCTGAGGAAACTAAGACATAGCATTGTTGAGTCACTTGCCCAAGGTCCACAAACTAATAAGTGGCAGACCTGGAACGTAAATCTTGCTCCAGAGACCAAGAAAATGTTTTTATCCTTTTTGGTTTGGGGATCAGGTGAATTCATTACCTACTCAGAAATTGCCGACTGTCATCCAGTCAATTCCACCTCACAGCGATCCTATACGTCAGAGTAGAACTCCCCTATTGGGTTTTCCAAGGCTGTAGTCTTCACCCCATCTTTCTACTGAGCAGTAGCTAGCAGATTCAAACCACCGGCCTTTCCATTCACAGCCAAGTGGTAAGTCACTCTGCCACCAGGACTCCTTACTCACAAATACAATATACATAAAACCAGAAATCGAGAAATTATTTTTCTATTGAGAGTTCCTGATTTACAGAGAAGAAGTAATTAAAATATCTTAGGGGCTAAATTCATGATATATATATATATATATATATATATTTTTTTTTTAAGGCACATCTCTAGTTGCTATGACAAATGCCCAAGCAGAGCTGGTACTAAGAGTAGGACCTGTTGTTAAGAGCTGTGGAGTTGGTTCTGACTCATAGTGACCCTGTTTAGAGTTTCCAAGGAACGGCTGATGAGTTTGAACTGCTGACCTTGTAGTTCAAACCAACTTTGAAGTTCAGCACATTATCCTGCAGCATCACACCAGGATTAGGACCTGAGCTTCCGGCATATCTGTGCTCTTCCACAAAACCATTTCACTAGAACAAGAACTTGAATACAGAGGGCTAGATGTCTCCTTTCCTGGAACAGATGCCCACCCTCAGAGTTGTAGGATACTAATAATAATAAGTAACATCTGCTGAATCTCCTAGTATTCCAGGCCTTTGATTTGATTCTCACTCAACAGCAATCCTATAGGACAGAGTAGAGCTGCCCCTAGGGTTTCCAGGCTCTTCACTAGAGCAGACTGCCACATGTTTCTCCCAAGGACCCATTGGTTTGGTTCGCACCACTGACTTGTTAGTAGCTGAGTGCTTCACCACCGGCGTCACAGGGCTT